AGCTCCAATTGGCAGATCCTGCCTCAGCCCACAGAAACACAGCTCGGAAAGTCTTGTCCTACGAGATTCAATTCAGTGGCTTTTTTTGTTCTAGACAAGGTTGCAGAAAAACAAATCAGAGGCTCTGAGAGTGGAAGGGAACCAAGCCCTTCCCTTGCAAGAACTCTGCCAGAACAGTGAGAAATATGCAAATATATGCACAACAGTAGAACAAAACAACAGATGAGAAGGCTGGAGCCGGGGAGGAAAATGTACCGACCAGAAAATATAAAACTGATTCCGGCAGTACTGCACCTGAGCTCCCATCCCTCAGTCCCTAGGTCAGTGTTCTCTTCGGCCTGTCCAGTCAGTGGGTTTACCTGCAGGTGGGGGATTATGTGGTTTAGAGGCCATGAGAAGTCATCTAAGCTCAGCACTAATGGTGATGGAACCCCAGCTGTGAATGCCCCAGGAAGCAGCCAGCAGACCCTGCATTAACAGCTCCCATACTGGCACTCTGCCTAGGAGCCTCTCTGCAGACTTCCCCATCTTGAGCTCCCGCCCAACGCCCTGATGCTCTGCCTACTCTCTGGTTAGATCTGTTGCTCTCAGTCACATGAACAAACACGCATATGCACACAAAACACATGCTCCACAATTATAACTCTTTCCTAGGATGGCTTCTAAAAGACCTCCCCCAAACTGGTATATTTTATATACTAAACAGCCCCAATTTCTTTATTCATCTACCAAGAAGAGAATTTTCATGGCATTCTTTTCTTATAGTTTGGACCCTAAATTCTTCCAAAGACCCATGCACCTGGCACTCATAAGAAGTGATAGGAGCTAGTGAGAAATCTTCAGGTTATTAGGTATGCAGCTTTGAATGACACAGTGGGATTTTTGGAAGGATTCACTTCCATGCCGTTAGAAGGACACTTCTTTTTTTTATATAATTTTTATTTTTTTATATTAAACACAGGTTATTCACTTTGTATCCCAGCCGTAGCTCCCTCCCTCATTCCCTCCCAATCCCACCCTCCCTCCCTCATCTCCTCCCTGCCCCTTTCCAAGTCCGCTGATAGGGGAGGTCCTCCTCCCCTTCTATCTGACTGTGGCTTATCAGGTCTAGAAGGACACATCTGCAGTGATGCCTAACGTCCATTTTAGGTCGAGGCCTAAAAGCAATGTGACTTTCAAGTCATAGATTAAAACCCCAAACCTGGGATCCCAAACATTGGGGGCCCCCTACCAGCCCCTGCAAACATTGCAAATCATACACAAAGCGCTTAAGCTGTAAGAGACCAAATTCAGCCTAGATTTAGAATTCAGTAACAGCCACTCACAATTGTTTCAGTCCTTTGGGACCCGGCTCTTAGACAAATCTCAGGATGCTGGTTACACTATGAGCATACCCCATCTCCTTCACTGTCCCAGCTTCCCAGGGCTCTGCCACAACCCATCAATCAAATCAGTGAACCTCTGTGACTCAGATGCACAAAACAGCATCCAGCGAGAAACAGGCAGAAGAAGGAGCCCGAAGGGTAGATAGTGATTGGGAATCACCTGTTCATTCAAATCTTTCCCCCCTAAGATTCTCTTTTCTATAAGGGATGAGGGGGAGTCATGAAAAGTTTCAAATATCATCAACTTTTTTTCTTTTTACTTTTAATATCATCATCATTGTTTTTAATTGAATACTGTCTGTATGCTTTCTGAGGGGCTAGTTGTAAATTAAAATGTCATTGTTCTGTTGCTATAGTGATAGTTATTGGAAACAGCCTTCTACTCTCTGGCCTCTCTTTGCACAGCCTGGAGTTACTGCAAATGACATGATATGGCAGCATATGACAGCCTTCCCATCTGGGCAAGATCTGCACCCCAAGTTCTTTGGCCCAATGGCCATGTGTTGGCCCAGCATCCCTCCTTGCGCTTTTATCTTCACAGCTGTATCCAGGTAGAGATTCTAAGACACAAACTAAGGAGATGTGGAGCTGGTTTGTGTTCCAGTGGGTTGGTCATGCACTTCAGAAGTTCTAGCAAAGATGTTCTCATCTGAACAAGGCAACTCAAAGGGCAGCGGGTCCCACAGAGTGCTCAAACGATGTCTGATCCAAGTCCAGATGCAGGTGGGAAAAAGAGTGATTCACAGGTCCTGACCATTCTTCATCAGAGCAAATAGCACAGAGAAGCACTGAGCTCTGCTCCAATTATGCCTACCCAGGAATCACTGGAGTTTGAGAGGCCGTGGCACACAGCATGGCAGCATAGGAGGCATGCCTAAGCAGGGAATTGCTTCTCTCTGGCACCATGATTCAGTTCACTGGGTTTTACATTGTCAGTTTTTTTTTTAACCCCGTTTGTTTTCATTACAGATAGAATTTCAAGACAGTTAATCTGATTGGGCAGTATTAGTCCATCTATACATGGGCACAGGGAAGTCTCAGGACTGACACTTCTCAAAACTGCTGCTGGCAAAGGCTTTGGTCTGCAAGGAAAGGCAATGCTATGCCAGGCAAGGGACCCATAGCAACTCCAAATGCCCTGGCTTGAGTCTTCTCCACCTTCAAGGTTTTTGCCCTTGGGGTAACTGGGTTTCTGCTTTAGACCACACCCCAACCAATTCTAAAAGCTGGAGACCAAGGTCTTGTTCTGTTTCCTATGCTGTTTGTCGAACCTGGTAACTGTTTCTTAACTGATGGATGGTTACCCATGGTCCTCCTGATGGGCATCCCTTCTATTTTCCCCAAACCTTAGGACTGCATCCAAAGTCCTGCTGCCAATTGCTTCAGGTGTCTTCCTTGATCACTCAAGTTTTCTGTAGCCACCCTAGCACGCTACCCTTTGTCCCATCCATGTCTGAACCTTTATCCTGGGCCACTCCTCCCACTGGCTGCTTCTGTATGTTTGTGTGCTCAATGGCTGGTACAGCCGCAAGCCTTCAGATCAGTTTAGCTTCTAAGGACTCCAATTTTGTCTGTGGTTGCCACCATCCAAGAATCATTCTGCTCAAAGTAGATGGATGATGTTATGTCGAGGAAGGAAAATGGTTGAGAAAGAGTCTAGGATATGGCAATTAGATTTCCCTGACCTCGAGTGGAAGCTTCAAGCTGATAGTGTAATCTATCGTTTCCTAATCCCATTGCCTAACAAGTTCCCTGATTTCTGCAACCTCAAGGGCTAAATCAGCACCGTGGACAGCAAAAGCCAAGACACTGAATAAGGGAATACTTAAAAGGTTCTGAATTTTGTCTCTGGAATACCTGTATCCATATGCTGTGTGTGTGTGTGTGTGTGTGTGTGCACGCGTGCGCGCGTGTGTGTTTACTGTTTTGTTGTATTTGTTTATGTGGGGGATATGCTTGCCATAATTTATGTGAAGAGCTTTACAATTAAACTTTACAATGCATGTAAAGTTTAAATTCTCTCTTTCCACCATAGAGGCTCAGAGCATCAAACTCATGTTCTTAGGCTTGGTAGTGAGTTTACTCTCTAAGCCATCAAGACAGGCCTTGTCTTTGGAATATACTGAGTGTTAGTAAGTTGCCCTTGAGTTCTGTGCCCTCATTCTGGGATTGTTTGAGTTCAGGAAAGTGATCTGGTCCTTGGCTTTCTTGAAGACAGATACAACATCACAAAGAACTATTTTTTAGCATGTGATAGCTTTTGATACAGAAGTAATCATTTTCCCATTTGTTAATCAATGTGAGAAAGAAAGACACAGCCTCTCTTCACCCATTTCTCCCTCCAAATATACTATCTCTAAAATGAAATTTAACAGTACTCCTCTGCTTAGGCAAAGAGAACACATGAGCAAGCTACTCATTCACAGGAAGAAAAGACAGAAAATTTCCACCGACTCCTCTTTCTTTGAAGTGTCTATTTTAAGAGATTTGACGATGCGTAGGTCACAGGGTTAGTGCCCCAGCCTTTCAGAGAACAAGCATCTCAACAGAATGCTGCTTGTTCAATGCCACATCAGGCAGAGGTTCCAAAATAAGCTGTACCCGTTTCCAGACAAAACCGTTCTACACCTGAATGTCACATCCGCCTCCAAAAAATCCAATATGCTATACTCAAACTCAGCTGAAAGACGGAGTGAAAAGATTTCTTGCTATTTGTTAAGCAAGAGAAGATACTGAAGAAATACACAGCGAAGTAAGAGCCATGCAGTGTTTCAGACACTTTTTCGTTTCCAAAATACCATTTAAAAATAATTACACCCACGATTTATGCACGATTCATTAGACAGCAAGATAAAATGCACTACTAAATTTTAATTGCACTGCAAGTGTAGACATAATGAAAAATATCCCCTAACTTCTTGGGATTATAACCCAGTACATAACATCTTCATCACCATATAAATCCTGCCCAATAGTTTCAGCATTACTGAATTATAAAAATGTTTTAGTTTCACGATTTGCTAAACCACCAAAGACACTCTTTAGTTAAGCATTTAGAAGGTCAGGTAATCTGCAATCAGTGTTTAAGTTACTGATGAAAGTTAATAGATTTAAATCACAGCTTTTCCAGTAGCGACGGCAGGAATGTCATAAATACATACTTGTCTCCAAACTAAAGTGGCTGTAAAGACTATGGTTTCCGTCGCTGACTCCCCTACACCAAGCTAGGAACATGCAATGCAATCACGCCCTGGTGTGTGTAAAGCGCAAATGTAAAGAACGTTACTTGCTTTATGGAGACAGTGGCAGGAACCTACCTCCCGTGCAGTGTGCACATCCACAGCCATGCGGGATACAGGCTGAGGCTGGGAAGAGCACCACAGATTTGTGTCCTACAGGAGGAGGTAAACATTAAACGAACGACGCTGGCAAGCCCATGAAAGCACACTCCAGCGGTCTGCTGTGCCCAGGCTTCCCATCCATCCCTGTGGATTTTGAATGGCACGAGTCATTAGACCCACAAAGCTCAAAGCTCCTGAGGAAAGGGTGCATCATGTAACAAATGCAGTGTGTGGCTCTCAGCACCGGGCCTGGATCAGTTGCTCCCACACATACCTGTGGTTTTCAATGGAGGTTTCTCTCCTAGCAACAGTTTTAACCTTTTGGCGTGGATTTTGCCTTGGTAGTGTGAGTCGGCCACCACGGCTGAGGTAAAGGACATGTTACAGAGCGTACAGCATTTATTCTTGTCCACCATGTCAGCATCGCTGCCCTGCATGGGGAGAAGGAGAACGAGAAGGACAGTGTCACAGAGGAACTCCATTCCCTTGTTGTGAGAAATCTGTCTATTGCCGACCAGCTTACAGACATGCTTAGCTTTTGCTCTGCAAGCCTGTTCTTGATCATAATCACCATCAACTTAGTAATGTACATTTATGTAGTGGCTACATGTGCAAGACACTGGGTTTATAGGAAACTTTGCAGATATGAGTTGCCCAAAGAAAAAGTGGAGCCCACAATTAGGAAGAAGCACATCGTCTGGCTGTGAGGAGTGTAGTTGGTAATTGCGCACATTATACTCATTAAACTAAGGAAAATATCAGAGTTCACACGGCCTGAATTATTTAGCAGAAATTATCATTTGGCATTCAGCTCTGCCTTTGCCAATTTTAGCCTCACCAGGACACATGGCTGCAATGTTCAAGTTGCTTTTTATAAAAAAAAAGTTTCTCTAAGGACTTGAACAATTTTTTTTCATACTTCATTTGCATATCTATCACAGAGCTATGATGACCACCACACGCTGCCTGGATTTTCTGGCAAGATTTTGTGTCATTTTTTTTTTTCTCGTTTCCTTCAGAAAAGGTGGTTGGCTAAATGCTGCACGGAATGCTTAGTCGGGCTTAATTTTTTATGCCTTTGTACGATTTAATGAAAATGAATCGTGAACGAGAAAAAAAGCAAGTCCTTTGTTGGAGCCTGTGACATAGCCATTATGTGTGCAGGTCATCAGTGACTCCTAGTCCTCCAGAAGATTAATCCTCTGCCTCCCCTCCTGCCTCACTGGAAATTGAGGGGACAGCAGGCTCGCAGATAAGGAGTCAAAATCTGCTCCTCAGTGGAACCGCAAGGCTGGCCGTCATTAAACATCAGCCTTAGCGATGTCTCTAGCCCCACAATAGTCTCAGAGAATAGACCCAGAGAACCCAGAAGAGAAATTTAAAATTGGATGGAGACAAAGAGGAGGGTGGGAACAGGATGGAGGGGAGCAGAGAATTATATAATTTTTATATAATTATGAGATGTCTGTGCTGCCAGAGAGTTGCCCTGTGGGTAATATGTGGTTCTTAGAAAAGGAATTCCTGCCATAAGGCATCATGGGTGAGGTCTCTGAGAATTAGTTTTTGGTAGTTGGGGAGACAGATCTTATGAGGTGGGTGGAGGAGTTGTGGTGTGTGGGGGTATGTGTGCGTGTGTGCATGCGTGCTTGTAGGTGTGTCTGTGTATCTCCAAGGATGCTGTCCTCTACTTACAAGGTAGGAAAAAAAATGAAATTCTGTTTGTGGGACATGGTAGTGTCAGGAAGTGGATCCAAAAGTGCCATATTTCTGTAAGATTCTCTCTTCAGGGGGTGCATTCTGCCCTTGCTGAAGGTAAGCTCCAGTGCTTTGAGTTTGCTTTCAGGTGAAAACAAAGGCACAGGGACTTTTACAATCCACCATGTGGTTTACTGTGAGATAAAACAGACCAGGCAATAAAGCAGGAGCGTATGCTCTCTCTCATCTCTCCAAACAAGCCTAATGGGCATACAGAGTCCCTTGGAGAGGAACAAATACAGAAGCACCAGGCAAATCCAAATTTCAGGGCAACTGAAGACATACAATGTCTTCACATACAATGTGAAAACTGAGGTGGGAGGGGCTGGGGGCTTTAGAGAAACAGAAAATAAACTGGCAACCTCTCACTGTTAGGCATATTGATCCTACGCCATTTTTTTTAACAAATGTTAAAAAGTTTTGAGATTATAATTATAATTACATTTCTCTTTACCTTCCCTAACTCCAGAGCATCTCATACACACTGTTCTTTGCTCTCTTTCATATGCATGGCATCTTTAATTATTGTCACTGTATACAAATCTGTACATGTAAATACATATATATTCCTAAATACAACCTGCTCGGTTTGTACATTATTTCCATGTATGTTTTTAGATATATTTGTATATTCATATGTATGTTTGCATGTGTGACTAATAGTTATTAGATAGGCAACTGGTCTGTTCTTCCCTGGGGAAGACTGTTTCTCCCACTCTCAACATTCTGTGGTTGCCTGTCCTCCTTTGTGTACGGTTGAGGCTTCAGTGGTCTTCCCGAAGTCTACTTTGGCATGTCCAGTATTTATTTCCTTGTTTAGACCAAATTTCGGTGATCATGTTGGCGAGGCCTTATGGACGTTACTCCTGACATTACTAGGAAACACAGTCTCACAGCAAACTCCCTGACCCTCGGGCTCTTGCACACTTCTCAATGTTCCCTGAGCCCAAGTTGCAGGAGTGTTCTATAGATGTATCCAATGGGACTTGGTTCTGCGCTGCATTTTGTTTGGTTACGGCTTTCTGTAACGGTCTCCCCTAATATTGCAAAGGGAAGTTTCTATTATGAGGACTAGAGACTGCACTTATCAGTAGCTATAAGAACAAATATTTAGATGATTTTTAGGAATTACACTGGTCTATTAGAGTAGTGCCTGTAGGTTCTTCTTCAATAGCCATGGCTTCACTAGCCCTGACAGTTGTGTAAGCTTCCAGTAACAGGTATGGATTTCCTTCTGCTGATCAATTAGAGTACAATTAGAGAGCTTGTGGTTAGTGCCAAGGTATGTGTGCCATTACTGCAGCCTGAGAGTCATCATGCCATGCTGGTCTTTGGTGTGGCTCATCGGCACCATAGCAGGTTAGGATTGTTTGTTGCCTCCCTCTTTGGGAAGCTTGAACAGCATCTTCTGGCACCATGAAAGCCAGTCTTCACTGAGGAGGCATTCAAGTCAGTTCTAGTCCAGGGGTCTCCGGGCCCTGTTTCTGACACGAATGATATCTTCAATAATTGGAATTTACCTTCCACCTCTAGGGAACAACCAAGGAAAATTACAGCAGGCTGTACTTTTTGGGAATTTCTTGGACATCCCTGGCCAGTAACATAAAAAATAGTTTTCATGTCTGTTATTGAGATTTTTGTAAGGTAGTCTTTGGTCCTTGGAGAAATTAAATTGCTGAGACAAAAAGTTCATTAAATATATACATATTAATAAATATGACTAAATGTGTTAGTTTTTGAAAGTAAAGAGTTAATAGTATGAATCCTGTGGCTTAACCAGATACCATTGTGGTTATCTTACCCTTTTCCTTTCTTCTGTATTTACCTTCCTCACCCTCCATAAGGTGCTCCCTTTTCCATTGCCCCAATAAATCACTTGCATTCTGCTAGTCCCCTTTTCCCTGCTCCCTTTTCTCTATTTACATCTTCCTCCCTCCTTAAAGAGCCCCCAGTTTCCCAGGCCTCTGATCAGATCACCAGGACCCCACTCTTTCCTTTTCTATTGCTCCTCAATCCCTGTATCCTAGCAATGCACCATTTCACTTTCCTGGTTTCTGCAATGAGTTACTCAAGGCTCTGTGCCCACATCTAAAGATTCTGAGCTACAGTCTTCAGGCAAAAGAACATTTGGAATTTGTCTTTCTGGGTCTGAGTTACCTGACTCAGTATGAAGTTTCTAGTTCTATCCATTTACCTGCAAATTTCATGATTTCACTTTTCTTTACAGCTGCATATTATTCCATAGTGCATTTGTGCATTTTTATTATCCATTTGTCAACTGAAGGACATTTAGACTGTCTCCACTTCTTAGCTCTTATGAATATAAAAGCAAAGCACATGGATGAGCTCCCTCACGTCCACTTCAGCTCTTTGTTTAAGTTGCTTTGATGATGTATTGCCTTTTGACTTGAGTAAGATCAAAGCTCAAGTATGTATTAGTTTACATTTCCCTAGTTGCTAAAGATGATGAACATTTCTTTGGAGATGTTTCTTGGCCAATACCTCTTCATCTTCCTCCTCCTCCTCCTTCTTTTTCCTCCTCTTCTTCTTGAGAACTCATGTCTCAGGCCCAGTGTTTGGATGGATCATTTAGGGTTTTTTTTTTTGAGCCTTTGGGTTTTTTGAGTTCTTTATATATTCTGGAATCAATGTTATTCAGATGCAAAGCTGGTAAAGACTCTCTACCTTCTCTGGGCTTCCTCGTCAACCAGAAGATTGTTTCTTTAGCTGTGCAGAAGCTACTTAGTGACATGAAGTCCCATGAGTCAACTGTTGGTCTTAATTCTTGAGCTAATGGAGTTTATCCAGGAAGGCTTTTCCTACACCTGTATCATGTAAGGAACTGCCTGTGTTTTCTTCTAGCACTTTTAGTGTTTAGATTTCATGTCTACATCTTTGAAGCTATTTTGTGCAAGGTGGTAGATACAGGTCTAATTTTATCCATATGCATGTGGACATCCAGTTTCTCCTGCACCATTTCTTGAAGCTACTTCCTTTTCTTCAATATATATTCAAATATTAAAATACTGAACTTAGATTCACTCATGTTTAGGTCTTATATTTGTTCTATTTGTGTATATATCCACTTTGTGTCAGTGCAGTATTGTTTTTATTAGCATGTCATTGTAGTACATCATATAATCTGGGAGTGTAATCACTCTAGCATTGTGCAATTCACTCAGGATTACTTTGGTTGTCTGGGGTCTTTGGTAGTTTCATATAATTTTAGTACACTGTTTTATGACTGAATAATGAGATGAGGATTTTGATTAGGATTGCATTAATTTGCAAATAGCTTTGATAAATGGTCAATTTTCACAATTGTAATTCTACCAATACCTAAGCATGGGATATTTTTATGTGCTCTAGAGTCTCTCTTATCTATTTCCTCAGAGATTTAAAGTTTTCCTTGTAGAAGTCCTTCACTTCCTTGGTAAGTTTCATTCCTAGATATTTCATTTTCTTTGAGGCCATTGTGAATAGGGTATGTCCATGATCTCCTACTCTGTATGTTTGCTGGTGATGTATATATTGATTTGTGCAAACTGACTCTTTATCCTGCCACATCGCTATTTCTAGAAGTTTTCTGGTAGGATTTTTGAGATCTTTGGCAATAGGGATAGTTTGACTTCTCCTTTCCCTATTTGTATCCTTCTGATTTCCTTCTCTTGCTTTA